TTTAAGTGCGATTTTAATCTTTTTACAGCTAACCCCGTATACCAAGTATATGAGGAGCTGGGGGGATAAATTGCCAATTAATGCCTTGGGGAGCGTACTTTTGTACTATCTCAAGGGCAACTTTAATAAAGTCCAAACACTGTTTTTCTATGGCCCTTGAACCCGATGAAGGGTTTTTCATTGCCGGCGGAGCGAGGAAATGCCGCGGGAAAAGCGTCTTTTGTCAAATTAGTACATAGCTCCAGGTGCACTGCTTTTGTCGTAAAACAGACAAAGAGAGCCATGTAGCCTTTCATTAGTGTAAGAGACCTTAGCATGAACGCCTTTATCTGAAAGGGTCCAGCAAAATGGAAGTTCTGCTATAATCTTCGCCCGCATGTTCTGTTTATGCATAGTGCATGTCTTACACATGAAAATACACCTTTTTATTTCAGGCTTAAGACGCGTAATATAGAAATCTTGGCGGATTACATATTGCATTTGGTGATGTTTAGCGYGCATTAGTAGGTGTTTCTAGATATAGGTGCGTCAATGTATCGCCTTGGGAGTAAAGCGTGAAAAGAGTCGATTTTACGCATTTCTGGGGCAATTATGTTGCCAATGGGCGATCGTGACCAAGATTCAGGAGATTCTACTAACTAATATATATACCTTAATATATTAAAATCGAATTTAAACGAAAATGCGTTAAAATTGGGACTTTAAGGATCATATGTCTTCCAACACGAAAATAATCCAAAACACACCACTGCATGTACATATTTTAGGGACGTAATTTGTATCTATTGAAACATKTTTTCGTCTAATTTGAAAAATTATTTATTTAATTTCTGTTTYTTGTTTTTAATTAAAATATGAAATAACTGAAAAATATTTTAAATAAATACTTATTTTTGTGATGCAGTGTATTTTTGCAACCAACGTCAGTTAGTTAGCATAAAGAAGTTGGATTTTTGACTTTAGAACCGCGTATTTAAGGAAATCATTTGACGCATAGCCATAGTCGCTAATATATTATTTGGTTTGTTTACTATGTACTACTTTCGTTTATCTCCAACTAAGAAGCTACTAACTGGTTTCGAATTTATTTTTTTATTATAATTCATATTATATTTCACTGAATTTTGAACATATGTATACATATTATATAAGAACACCTCCTATGTACCTACTATTCGGATCATATCTAATTACACTACAATGGATTCTCTTGCGCTTGGAGAACCTTTGCAAGATGCAAGTATAGCAGAAATTTCAGAGAGAGAAATACACGCAGGAAAATATTTGTAATAGCTGTAATTGGCAACAATGGCGTAGAGTAAACACGTGTGTATAACTTGCTCCAAGATTATTAGGGAATCTCAGGAARTATTAGCTGCAATAGTTGTAAAAATTGGTTCCACAAGAAATGCAGCGATTGAGTGATGATGGTTTCAAGAAAATTGCTGCTGCGTTTCGGAAAACTGGCCGTATTGACTGGCGATGCTCTGGTTGTCACTMAGAGGTTAGTATTATTGAGGCCGTCAATGACAGTGATGAGGACGACAATGATTTGCCGTTATCAACAAGCAAATCGAAGTTGGAGAAAATTTTTGAGAAATATCTAGCACCGTTCAAGAAAACAATTAAAAATATTCAGACCAGCGTTGCAGGGATTCGGCTGGACTTGAACAAGTTGGCAGAGAACAACAGAGCAATCTCGCAGTATTATAAGCAATTAGAAAATAGGGTCGGCGCTGTCGTGGTTATTGCTGTCAACGTGCCAGAGTCTGAGAAGCTGGTAGGCTATGATCGGCGTCTGGATGATTTAGAGAAGGTCGCCGCTTCATTACCACAGGAGATGTCAGAGGTTGGTAATTCCCTGGAGATGGCTATTTTTCTATCGGCATGGAAACGCTCGTATATTTGTCCAAATTACAAGTCAGGGTCGAGATCTGARGTGTCCAACTACAGGCCAATATGCATACAGCCGGCAATGGCAAAGTTGTTTGAGAAACTAGTTTTGCAGCAGGTGAATTTCGCCTTCAAGAATACGATCTCGACCAACACGGGTTCTTTGGCGGCAGGTCTACGGCTACAAACCTTTACCTGTATGTCGATTACGTGCTGAGAGTGTTGGACAAGGGTGAAACAGTTCACACTATCTACACGGGCGTCAGCAAAATCTTCGACATGGTGGATCATGAGCTCTTAATAGCGAAGATGGATCGCTACTATGTGTCGTCCGAGTTTAAAGTGTCGTCCCGTGTCTCACAGGGTTCCCCTCTGGGGCCAGTGTTGTTTAGCATATTTGTCAACGACATTGGGGACAAAATATCGTCGGAATTTTTACTATATGCTGATGACCTCAAGATTTTCAAGAAGATAAGCGCTGTCGATAATATTAGTGCATTACAGCAAGACCTTGATAGACTTGAGGAGTGGAGCGAGGAAAATAAATTGAGTTTAAATTTATAAAAGTGCATGGTGATGTTCTTGTCACGGTCTTTGAGTCGTCGTCCAGCTGTTTACCGTATCGCGGATCATCAGCTAGAAGAAGTCACAGTAGTAAAAGATCTTGGTGTTATCATTGACAATGCACTAAATTTCGCCGGGCACATTGACAAAATTACATCACAGGCATACAGGACACTTGAGTTCATATTCAGATGCGGAAGTGACTTCAGGAATGCTGATACGTTTGGAAGGCTGTACTCGACCTTGGTGCGTCCGATTTTAGAGTATTGTTGATTGGTTTGGTCTCCTCATACCGACTGTCTCATTGACAAAGTGAAGAGAGTGCAGAAGAAGCTCTGTAAATATGTCGTGTACTTCCTGGGACGTAAAGGATGGGTCGGAGGCTCGGAGGAGGTTCGTGGCCAATTTGGGATTTGTGACCTGATGAGTCGGAGACAAGTATCATATCTCTCGTTTGCTTTTAAATCACTAAATGGATTAATGGACTCTCCGGAAATTTTGGAACAATTCGGCCTTGTAGGCCGTATGCCTGGGTTTAGGTCGCATAGACTGTTAAAAACAGTCAACTCTTCGAAAAACTACGTGCGGGGTGGACCGAGGAGCAGAGTTGTAAACTTAGTCAATAGATATTATCAAAATATTAATATGTTTGGTTGTACGTATGCGAGCTACGTCTCAAGGATTAAGGGGTTAATAATGAATCATTAATGTGTGATTGTGATCAGACCTAGTCAAAATGCACTCTCCTGATGTTAATAGGTTACATGAGCTTAAAGTATAGTATAACCCTAGTAATGATCTGGTAATGATACACCAAGACATTGATTTTTGCAATGTTCACAATTAAGTCTCGTTTAAATACTTATATGGGCACGATTCCGATTACTTTGGCGGAGGGGTAAAAAAC